CTCTCGTCTCAGTCCATCTGCCAGCAGCGCCGGGCACGGTGAGCCCCACTCTTGTCAAGCGCTGGCTCTCCTGGCGCGCTCACCCGCTCACCCTACCCATTTCTCTCTATGAGAGTCGCATGCCGGGGCCCCTGGCCCACCTCCTCAGCTCACCGCGCTCACTCCCTGTGGGGATCGCCTCTCCCCGGCACCTCCAAAGACATCTGCGTGCTGATGACGCCCGGGCCTGCCACCAACACCCCCCGCCACCCCAGGCTCACAGCCCGCAGCCCTGCAGCACCCACCGGGCCCACACTCACCTGCCCTCCTGCACTGCTCCTGCCTCTGCGAGCACAGCGCTTCATGGCTCTGCCCAGCGCCTCTCAGCCACTTCGTTCCTCTCTCCAGCTGCACACCCAACCCATAGGCAAGATTTATTTCTACCATCACAATAATCCAGAATTCAGCCGCCTCCTCCCTCCTTTATGGTTACCACCCCGGCAGGCCACCTGCCTGCGTCATCTCTGGCCTCCAGACTGCCAGTGACTCCTACATTTCAAGGTGTTAGTCAAGGTCCTGACGATGACCCCCCAGGTCCCCCAGGAACTGGACTTCCGTGGCCTTGACTGACATCATCTCCCATCACCTGCCCTGCCCAGCCCCGCTGGCCGCCCTGCTCTCCTTGGGACAGAGCCCAGCCGCTCGGCCTCTCCCTCCACCGCTTCCTCCTGCCTGGCTTTAGAAAGGATCCCCAGAGCCTATCCTCTACGCCCACTGCCACCATCTTCTCCTCGCTCTGCTTAATTTTCCTTCACAGGACTCACACCAGACGCTATTCTTGTATTTGCTGCCTCTTCCCGAATAGATGGAAAGTTTCACGAGAATAGAGACGTTTTCATACTACCGTATCTCTAGCACCTGCAGCAGAGCACAGCACACATCAGAGGCCTCATAAACGTTTGCTGACTGCGTTATTTCACATAATGACCTCACAAGACCTGACAAAATAAACAAAGGACAGCAACTTACAGGACTGCAATTAACACATTTTAAATTAAAACTTAAAAAATTTTTAAAGCTGTAAGTGTCTAGAAATAGATACATTTAAGGAGAAAAATTAAACACCGTTAAGATCATAAAAGAGTTCATGAATATACCATGACCATGAACAGAGCAAGTTAACACAGTGGATAGCAGCTTTCTCCAACTTCATCTATATATTTTGATCCTAATGAATCTAGCTGGATTTCTACAGAGCAATTAGACAAACTCATTTCAAAATGTATATGGAAGAAGAGGTCTATAAATCACTGTCACATTTGAAAAAGTACAACTAATGGGGTTAAAGTGATGGTGAGGACTTGGTCTATCAGATGTCAACACACACTGAATGTAACAAGCAGCAGTGCAGTGGATGGAGGGACACATTCTCGAGCACAGACCCGGGAACGCAGAGACAACTCCCAGGCCGCAGAGACAACTGCCAGGCCACAGAGACCGGCACACACAGACGGACCTCAGAGCAGGACGGGAGACGCCATTCAACAGACAGGGCTGAGATCTAGACAGTGAGTTCAGACCCTGCCCAGTGTGACATGTGAAGATGGGCTCCCGGTGGACCTCCAGGTAAAACCCTGAAGATACTTAAAATAGATGGAAGAACACCTTGGCAACCGAGAGGAGGGAAAAGACTTTCTTGGTTGTGTTTGGGTCTTCTAAAGCAAAGCGAGAAGAATCGAATGAAAACAAGGAAAGAAAAAGAGGGACTCACTATGAAGTCACATATATAAAGTAAATATAAAAATAGTAACATATTATATATCAAATATACTGTATGATAATATATAATAAATACATATAAAAGATAAAAATTATGAATATACATGTAAGTTT